AACTCGCAAATTGAAGAATTAAAATTTGTTGTATGTTGCGGTGATGAAGATTCTTTGAAGAAGTCCGCAACATTGAAAAAAAGTGAATAAAGTCTTCGGAGTAAAACATATGGACAAGGGTATACCGAAGACTCAGAAATTGACGAAAGCGTGAAGTGGAGGACATGGCATCGATGCACTCAACAGTCGGTGAGGGATTCCAATGGTTTTATTTATTTCAAAGTCCTCCAATAACGGCGCTTAAATCCTGGAAATGTGAGAAAACGTGGAGTAGTTTCTGCTGAAGAGTATTTCTTCATTGTCACCATTTTGCATTGGAGAATGTCCGCGACATTATTTAAAAAAAAAGTCTTCGGACGACGAATTATGGAAGGAGCAGTTCGAAGACTTAAAAATAGGTCGATCGAAAAAAAGATTTATTGTGGTGAAGAATGCAAAGCTCGCAAGTTTGGAAGAGGCATTAGTAATACGAAAGAAAGCAGCAACGGAATCAACGATTTCGATTTGGAAACTGCATGAAAAGGTACACCTCCAGTGATACAAGTCAACTTCTTTGTTTAGCTGCATGCTCCAGAATAGTGGTTACTACTATTATTAACAACAAGTTTCATGGAACTGCATCCAACATGAGGTAAGATTTTTTGATCTTTCTCGTTTGATTTTTTGTTTAACTGTGTTCAGAATTTTCGTTGTCATATTCATGAAAATTAATAGCTATCCGTAACTATTTACTGATTTGTGCTTATGTACTCTAATTGTAGTTTCTACGGATTTGTCAGTTACGAGTGAAGTTTCATTGCTGAGGCTGAAAAAAATGATTTGATTCAGCCAAGAAGGTTCTCTGCCCAATGGTTGTTGGAGTAGGCGAAGTAAATGGTTAATGATATTAATTTTATTTTTGCAATCCTTTTAATGTTATAAATATTCACCACTTTGATAAAGTGGTGAATAAAAATGTATATTTTGTTGCATGTCTTTCTGTCTGTATATATTTTTTCTTTATATGTACTTTTATGAAGATTATTTTTAATCATTAATTATTGCTTTTTAACTTTGACGTAGAATGTAAATTGTAATCTTAACTTTTATTGTTAGTGATTTCTTTCAGAAATTTAATTTGTATTATTATTCTCTTGTTAATTTTCGTTCTTGTAAAAACTTGAATAATGAATAAAATATTATTCATAGTCAGAAAGGCAATTCACATTATGCATGTATTTTATTTAAGAAATGAACGAGCGACATTTGCGTAAAATATACAATCTTGACCTCAAAAATTGTTGCATAGTGTTATTAAAAGTTTCTGCAGCTATTGCCTTTGTGCATCTGTAGCAATTAATCGATTGTAGAGCTGTTTTTGTGACTACAAATCCAATTACTACCTCCAGATACTGGTTGGAAGTTAATACCAGACTTACTCGGTATTCATTCATACTTGTCAAAACAGATTTACTTCTAATGAGAACTCAAGAAACATAGAACAAATGTATATTTAAAATTAGCCTTTACCAAGTCCCAAATATTGCATTAGCGAACGATTGCTTTGAATTAGTGAAGTCAAAATTAATTTCTTCTGGCAATGAATTACTTCAGCAAACAATGGTTCCGGATCAAACATCCAAATCTTCTGGCATAGGCTTACCCTTGATCTCAGGTAATGTAATGGCTAGTAAGGCTGCTACAAACGATAAACCAGCAAGAATAAGGTGTGATATTTTCCCACCACTCAAATCCTAAAATACATCATTTTGAAACAATCAAATTTCGATGTGACAGTATTGTTGCAGTGAAAAATTGGCTTGCTTCCACTTCTTTCATAAATATTGTTTGCTGAGAAGTTAGCGAAAGAAACAGCTTTTTTTACTAGACTAAATTCTACAAACTGAATTTCTACAGATTCACTCAGTAATGAAATAGTTTCAGGCAGTTAGTCAGGCTTGATTGACATGTGATTTTGATTTCTATGTGATTTTTTATCTTTTTCAGGCCCGATTGTTGTAGTATTTTCTCATTGCTCACCACATATTTCAGTATTGGTGAAAACATGATACCAATGCATTGTGGTACAACTGATGGTGCGAATGGTTGTTGGCATCATTTCATTCACAAGTAAAGGATGAGATGCAAATGCAGCTTCATTAAGCATTCTTCCAATGAAGTGACACAACAATGGAGCACACACAATTTCTGCATTTCTTCTATGATTCTATAATGTGCAACTCAGTTGATTGAAAAATTTAGATAAAATACTCAAAATATTGCTTTTCTTTTGATGCAGAAGTTTTAGTACAGAATAACCAACCAACAAATATTGCAGAGTCCTCACGTATAATTCTCGATTTTGGGTCAGGTATTTTTTTTTCAAAATTTCTAGCTCACCAAAGATGAAAACTATAAATATTGCTGTGTCTAGAGAAAAACCTTTGATTGCAAAACAACTGCGACGACTAAGAATCGAAAATCGGTCCGAAAAGTAATACTTTATTTTTATATTTCGTATGGAAAATGTCGGATTACTGTTCTGTTAAAGCAGTTCGAGCATTTCATGGAAAAAAGAATAAAAGTACCATCTGGTACCTGCAAGAAATGGTGCAATAAGTGCAGAAGTTGCTTGCAAGAAAATTAAACACATGTGGCACTGACGCGACCGAAGAAATGAAGTAATGGAACTACAATGATGCCTCCTGGTATTTGTGACAAACCAGACAGAACATATCTCATGAATTTTTGTATTGTTAAATTGATAAATGACGAAGTAGTAAAAGTTCAAAATGATTCTAAAAAGTAACGTGCTAGCCATTAACAATATATCAGAAAGTGATTTCAGTAGAATTTATAAACTTCAATCATTAACAATAGATCAGAAGTTTGTTTCATATCAAGAAACGATTTCAGATCTGATCTGCTTTTCTTCTCTTACATATCAGATAAAAAGATGAAATCCAAATTATTTTGGTTTTTGCTACGGTTTCAAATGGCAAATTTCCAGTTCACAAAAACCTTCGTTGGCCACTGAAAGTATAAACAAATTTAATAGTACTGAAAAATATAAAAAATGAAATTACTAACAAATTACGTATATAGCCATTGACAAATAGGAAATACATTATTCGTTTCGGCTTGAATAAACTACAAGCAGTTCTTTCCTCACTTGCCATATTTTTTGTGCTAGAGTGTGATCGACATCTATCAAAATCTATTTTCATATCGTTGAATCTGTAAGTCAATAAATCTCGCAATATTACCTACCATTGTTTCCAAATAAGGACTTCATATACTCAACAATAATGAATCCATTATTCAGTGCAAACATAGACTGTCAAATTAAACTTCATACTTTGAAGATGTTTCGACATAATCCTTTACATCCTACATGCTGTTATTTGAAACCATCCAGTGAGGCGATTCAGAGAGCAACTCAAAATGATTGACTTCAAAAAGACTTGAGAATCTTGAAATTTGAGTGAAATTAAGTGTTACAGCTTTTCAAGTAAAGAGTTTGCTTACTTTTGAAGTCTTCCAGTACATAATAAAAGTTTCGTAAATAACTTCATTTTATAGGTAAATCTTCTTAGAACTTTCATACATTGCGATCATTTTCAAAAAGAATATCCAAAAATATCGTCCAAGAACTTAAAAGATGAAATGAGTGAGACAAACTTATGTCGAACCAAGAATAAATAAGAGTTAACAGGTTGTTTAGTTCGCGAAATCAATTTAAAAAATGTTTTAGAAACATAATTTGCAAGAATATGCAATAAAAGTGGGCCAAATTTCGTACAACACTTAATTTCCAATGCTAATTTCCTAGCATAGCAAGAACTTGTAGCAAATGTTAATAATACATACTATGTTTGCTTGATTCTGCATAAATTTTATACTGCAATAAGAAGGAGTGACAAACACCGCACTTTTGAGTGGTGTACATATGAACCTATGGCACACGTGATCTGTACTTGAACTAACGTGCAGTCATTTGTTTGAATCCAAAGAAGAAGCACTGACCCAATACTGTAGTCATAAAATTGATCAATCAATATAAGTAGTGTAATGACCAATGTTAAAGAAGGAAGAGGGAATAGAAACAAATACTCTGCTGAAGTATTCTTAATTGAAGTCAGTCATGTACAGTTATGCCTCACAGTACGATAACTTACTCAATAATAAAAGTAAACATAAACCAAGTATGTTATAGTCTGAGAAACTACGAGTTAGTGAGCTATTTAATCACAATACATTAAGCATAGCAGACACATAGACATTGCATTTTTCATAATTTTACAAATATTTCATAGAACTCCTGTGGTGCAGATCATATCACAAGCTACTTATTCTCAGAGGGATTTTCAATTTCGAAGCGTGTTGTTCATTTGATTGCGATACTAACTGTAGTAACAATTTTAGTGTATCATTCGGCATTTGCGTGCCACAGAGGTTATAAAGGTTAGAAGCAAAGTTCAGACTTAAAATACATATGTATTCAAATAAACATTACTAAAGTCAGGTGCAGATTACAGCTTACCTAATACTAAGTTCACCGAATAGTAACGATAAACTGGTTATGAAAGTAATACCGATAACCACAACTAGAAAACTAGCAACAGAAATCAGCTTCTTATAACGAACTAAAATTTTTCGTACTCATTGAAGAAACACGAAAAACGGATTATAAGAACTTAGACATAAGCAGGAACATTAAATCTGGAAATTGAAAAGAGAAGTACACATTTCCATTTTTAGCTTTGTAGGATGCAATGGCATACATGACGCCTTTGAGATTTGTATTGCACAGTACTGTACTGTATGTAATGTGTGAGCAGCTGCGATTATTTGTACATTGCAACTTTTTGAATCTAATTTCAAATGCAACACAGTCCTTTTTTTAATATAACAAACAAGATAAAAAGAAACTAGCAAACGTCACAAATGCATACAAAGAATATAACAAATTCAAAAAATGTACGAATGATTCAAAATTCATAGAAAGCAGTCTCGAGGAAAGCTTTAAATTGAATGAATTAATTAGCAAAGTTTGCCTGTTATTGATTGTTTTCATTGAACACTAATACGGAGGAAACTTATCGTTTTTTCGAAAAAAACCATATTTCAACTGTTTCAATGCAATTTTTCTCTTTTACTTATCACACAATACCGAAATAAAAAGTGAATAACTTTGATGTATTTTTTTGACTAATTCCGACATGCTATCTACTAGCCTTCTTACTTACTGATCAATCAATAAGTCATCCAAACCCATTCACATCTTACCTGTTTACCATTCGATTGTTAAAAAACGTCTCTGAAAATTGTTTAGTGAAAAAAGGAAAATTTAGTTAATAAAATAACTCGTTAATAAAATAGCTTGAGAATATTTCTATTTCTACTTGAAAA